CTAGGACACAAATGTAATATATATATATATATATTACAAGATTGATGGTACTTCAAGGTACAAGGTACAAGTACTAGTTCTTGGGTAAGTTTAGAATTTAAATAAAGAGTGAGGGCTTGGAGTTAATACATGTAACTTATGTAGAACTGAATTAGGTTAGGGAATCTAATCTAGCTAGAAAAATTCCTGTTTTAGAGAAAAATAAAAATAAAATGCTAACGACAAGGATCTGAAATAATTCAAATAACCGAGGGGCTTTAAGAAAATAATTCAAATACATTTTTCCGGGGCTTTACATTAAATGTAATGAAATGAGGAGGATTAGAACCCTTACTGATGTATTTAATTATGATCTAGTTAGGTCTAGGACTAATGTAAATCTTTCTAGTTAGAAGTACACACATATATATAGCAATCTTTATAAGGCACCCAAAGTCATTTATTGCTCCAAGATTTCAAGATATTTTCAAAAAGTACAATGATTATAGTCTAGAGGGTATGATGGCTAGCCTATGTTGAATGGTGAATTGGATGGAATGTTATATATATATATATATATATATTTATTTATTTATATACATATCGTACAATCTTGAAAATTGCCCAAATACAATTATTAAAAAAAGATTTTGGGTATAAGTGCATAATCTATTATATATATAATATATAATAGTGCTTGTTGGGGGTCAATTTGTAGATATTTATAAAAATGTGAGGGCTTGGGTTCAATCAAAGTATTCTATTTCCAGTGTAAAATAATATCAATTTGTATTATCTTGCTTGTGAATTTAAAAGGTAAATATACCCGCGCTTAAGCGAACATGACTGTAAAAATTGAAAAGTTAAGAGTTTAGAGCGATTAATCTAAAATTTGAGAAGTTAAGTAATTAATATTAGAGTGTTAGAAAGTGATTTCTAAGCTTCAGGATTGATTAGGGTTTGTATGAGATTCGCTCGTGATGGCGTTTTCAATCCTAGGGCTTTGATTTGCGATTAATCGACGAACTAAGAGCTTTATTATAATAATTCAAATTTAGGAACCTAATAAGGTTTACAAAAAAAAAGTCAGGGCCCCACAGAACCAAAGAGTCCAAATCTGGCAAATCCGTTTTGAGAAACTGATTTTTTGTGAAAAAGTTAGTGTCCCTAACAATCATGACCTTTGCTTTGCTGCAGGACTACAGAGTGATTCAGAAGCCACCTAAATATTTGAATGGGGAAATTTAGGAAACCCATGACTCCTAACAAGTAGTTCGCGTAGGTTTTCGCACAAAGTCCAGCCGTCACACGAGTTGATCTCGGTCTACGGGCGAGCTTGGCAGTACTGATCGGGAAAGGTCAGCTATGAGTCACCCTTTCCCCACCGATCAGGTCCGAGGACCGGCCTGTACTAACCTGATATTCCGATTTTGAAAACGTTGTGTTCTTTCCTGGTGATTAGCCTAGAGAATTACTATGTTATCGCACAGCAAACAAGTATTAACTAGACTTGCCTAATTTGGGAAATAAACATGTGCCATATTTCGTTTGTTGAATAAATGCTTTGGGATTTCTACTTGCATAGTAGGCTAAACACCGGTTTCAATGAGTTCTTCCAACTCAAACAATCCAACCTTCACCACGGCATACCAAGGCAGTTTCTAACACAATAAGCACTAAGCCACATGTTAAGCATGCTGACATGGCAAACATTCACACTCATGCGATTATGCTAAAGCGAAAATACTTAACGTACTCCGTGCCAAAACAAAGAACTCGTTAGCAAACATGCATGATCCAAGTCCATGTTAAGTGCCCTAATGCATCGCATACAAAGTGTTGCTAGAAATAGGCTCGGCTATCCTAACATGGCATGTGAGGAAGAAAAGAAGTGGGGGTTGGAAGACATCCACCAACCCACGACACTTATTACAAATTTGCCCTCGCTCGGAGGGACCAAATAAATATTACAAATTAATTAACTACGCAAGCTAATAATTATTCAACAATTAATTAATTAATTAAACAAATTAAATAAATTAATTAAAACAAGGAAAATCGCCTGAGAAGCGGGCCGCCATTGCATTAGGCTGCCTCTGGCTTTTCTTCTTCACTTCTCTGGAGGGCTTGTCAAGACCTCAGAATTACATCCCTGGGCGATATTGGGAGTTACCACCGGCTGAGGTGGAAATTACACCGGTCATGTGGTATGTGGCATCGGGCAACAAACTGAGCCATCGCAGAGGAGGATTGATTGCCGGCGCACCTTACAGACTGCGGTCGGCAAAGAAAGCCTACAGAACCTGCAACTCACAGCAACGAGGGCAAACAAAGCATGGCAGCACAATTCAAGGCATGTATGCACCAACCATGTCCCTATCATGATAAATGAACTCAAAGGGGCTGCGCGTCTGCGATTTTCTGGCGCAATGGATCCCGAATCACGCTATTGGTGCCATGCATGCATGTCGTGCCCAAGATCCAAGTATGGCAACTTTGATTTTAAATGCAATGCAAACCACAATCAAACAAACAAGGCCCAATTCCTATCACTAAGTCAAGGGAACAAGGCATGCATGCAAGAATGTAATGCCAACCTAGGCATACAAGCTAAGGATGCCAAACATGGCGGCAACAAACTTATGCAAGCATACAAGCATACTATGGTCAATGGCAATGGGTGCAAAGATGGACTTATACATGAATTAGGCAAGCTTTAATAAAGGCCCAAAACAGTAGCCATAATGCCCAAATGAGGCTAAACATACATGCACACGATACACATGGTTAAATGGCCCACACTTAGGCACAAAAGCAAGCATACATTCAAAGCACACTTGAAAAAGAGGCAAATCAATGAACAAATTGCATGCAACACGAGCTCTAAAATCAATGTTATAAAACTGATGCCAAATCACATTAAACAAGAGCAAGCAAGTAGCATGCAAGCAATGGTCCAAATACTTGAAAGCAAGTTCATGAAGCTTGAAGCATGTTTATCACAACAAACATGGCATGCATTAAACTACTAAAACAGATTTTTAGCATGTCAAAACAAGGCCAAAGGACTTCTTAGATGGTATCTAAGTGGCTCAAATACAAAGGCATACATAGACACCAAAACATGGAGCATTGCTACACAAGCTTCCAAAGCATTAAAGGGGCATGAAAGGCAATCAAACAAGCATGGAAATGGGACTGAAATAACATGTGGAGGGACCCCAAATCACCAATTGATGCAAAGATGTCATGCTACACATGCACATACCCAAGGCCAACAAGCCTAAATACAAAGGAGCTATATGATGCATGCCAAATTTGACCCAAGCAACTCAGGACAGACCTAGAACATGGCAAAATAAGCACATAATCTTCACAAGACTAAGCCTAAAACATGCTCCAACAAAGGCTAACAACCTAAGGCACATTAAGGCATAAACAAGGCATTACATGGCAACTATGCTAAGCATGCATGGAGTACCAAAACCAATTTAAAATCATGTTATATTATGGATATATAAGCATGAAAAACAACCTAAACATGCTCAACACACACTCAAACATAATGCTCTCTCAAGAGGCCAAAATATGCCCTTTTCAAGGACAACAAGGAGAGGGGGTGGCCCTCTCCTTCTTGGGACTTCAAGCCATCATCTTCACCACTGAAATCCCTCAAGATTTCAGTGGTGAAGAGACCCCAACACCAAAATCCCGGAGCTAGCACAAAATGGCCCAAAATGAGGCCTTTCAAGGCCTAAGGGTGGTCAACTACCCTCAAACAACAAAACACTCTTAATAAACAATAAAGAGGGCTTAAAAACAGAACTTTTTTATGTTATACAATAAGCACAAAAACAGCTCTAAGATAGGTAGAAAATCAATACAAAAATGGGAAAAAAGGAGACTAAGTTCTCACCCTTGAAGACCCCTTCACAAATGGTGCTCCAGTGGCCTCCTTTAGCTTGGATCCTACACCAAAACTTCAAAAACAGTCGCTTGAATCCAACACCAAAACTTCAAAATCAGTCCCTTAGAACCTCAGTTCCAAGAGGAAGGTGAAAAACTATGTGTTTGTGTGCAATAGTATGGACTAAACACACCAAAACACACACAAGAGGGAAAAAGAGAGAGATAAGGTGTAACAAACCCTAACCCTAGATCTCAGAGATAGGATGTGTATCTAATCCTAACCATAAAACCAGAGCTTGGTCTGTGTTTTTCTCCCCCTTCAATGTCCAAAATCTCCAACCTTTTTAACAAGAGAGAGCCTCTCTCTATATATGCAACCAAACTTGCAAAACTTACAAGTTAAGCCAAATTAGAGGGGGAAAGTCACTGCAATACAGCTGCCTAAAAATATCTCAAAAAGCAACTGCACAGTAAGACAAGCTTCATAAGAGGGAGATCCCTCCATACACGTGTATGAAGGGGAGCAAAAGCAAGACAGCTGTCTTAAAATATCTGCAAAAGCAGATGCACAGTAGTCGGCCGGCCAAAAATGCCATCTTGGCAAAAAAGAGTGCCGACCGGCACTAAATAGTGCCGACCTGCAACAAAGAGTGCCGACCGGCAACAAAATGTGCCGATGGCAGCAAAAACCAGTCGGTGGCCTCTAGCCACTGCCGGTGGTGGGTGGGGATGGTCTACAAGCCCTACCCTGCCTCTCAAAGGCAAGATGTCAGTGTTTGGTGCAAAACCAGACACTAAACGGTCGGGTTCGGAGATCCTGAGGCAAGACGCGTGAGCCGAGGCCTCCGGGAACTCCAAACGAACACAAACATGGATAATCACCGAGTGTTCAAATGGTGACGTCCAAGTCTCGAGGACCGTCAAAAATGGGGTGTCTACAGTGACTGACTAATATGAACTTTCCACAAAACATCATCCTAAGGTAATGTTTGGTTGATTGGAATGAATGTGGATTAGAGGCACTCTTGAGATGCAAAAGTTGTTATGGTGTCATTTTGAGTCACAAATTATTGTTCTTGACATCTTGTTTATATCGAGGTATATATATATATATATATATCTAATATAAGAACATGGACACATTGGAGGCACTCTTGAGATGCTCTTGCTTCTAATTTCACCCTGTCCCACTAAATATTTTTGTTTCCACCCAAGCCTCATCCTAACCATATTGATATAATTGTTCATCCTAATTTGTCATATATCATTCTCCAATGGAGAGAAGACAACAGCTGAGAGTGTTGCAGATGCCATTTTTGAGAATTGAGCCGAGTTGGTGCATCTTCCTTCCACCATGGATCTTCATGTGCCACTGCCATCCAACGACTGCCCAAGTTGTGATGGATCGGTAAGAGCTATTCTGGAATCATTAAAGCACATAAAATTAAGTTGCCATATTTTCCCAACCCTCCTAGTAATAGTTATTGGTGCTTCATTCTGAACACTATTGAAACATTCTCGTGCACTGAATTTTTATTTTTTATTTTTTATTTTTATGACAATCTATTGCAGTGGGTGAATAGTATTAAGTTCCCAATCTTATAGTCCTCATTTTATCTAGCTTAGATTGCATTTCAATCTTGCCATGTCTTTTTGTGTGGGATATATCTAAAAGTTGTCGATACATATTTGATGGTAGTGCTTGACTTTGTTCATATTTCTTTTAATTTATTTTCATATCTATTAACTTTCTTTAGACTAACTTGTACATTTTGATGATGTCTGAGTATTAAGTTCAATTTTTATATTATTAATGTTGCAGGGTGTGATGAAATGTACTGAATGCAAAGATAAATTACAAATAAGGATGTCAACGGATGATGTGAGTCTTTGCCATTTGATTGATTCTTTAGTTGATTCACTACTTGTGCATTCAAATGTGGCCAACTTGTCCCGACACTAGCACACTATTTGAACTTCTGTGCCTTAAGTATGTGAAACTAGTACACATATGAAACTACTACATTGCTTGTTAACTTTGGAACTTAATCACATGGATTTTTTCTCAGTTCCCTTCCTCGTATTGCTTTTATTGATATTTTAACATATAAGTAGATTCATAGAGGACTTGAAATGCCTAAATTTTTATGATAGGCAGTTTATATGCCCTTCTTTTTGTTCATCTCCTTGATAATCTAAATGTCATTAGAATTGTGCATTTATTTCTTCAATAATTGTGTAGGTTTTAATTAGAAATTTCATTATTTATTGTTTATTTGATGATCATTGTAACATTTTTCATCATTAAATTTCTTTCACTCCTCAAAAAACCAAGAAAGAAAAAAAAAATGCTGCTTACATGTGATGTTCTGTCAAAAAGAAAGGTCATTAATGAGACTGTTTTGGTTTTGTGCTGTTCTTGAATGAGTTAAGTGGGTTCTCTTCCTGATTCTATTTCTTCATTATTATTTAAAGGGTGGTTTGATTTTAATTATTTTGATTGGGAAATGATTATTAGGGAAACTTTGCCTAGTGGGCTATGTGGAAAATCAGGAATGAAGGTAGGTAGGTATATGTACCCTTATTTTAATATACCTAATTACGAGGATGTAATTGATTCCATTTAAAGTTAGAACATCAGTTTTATGGGGTGAAGGAAAAGTCTCAGTTTACAAAATTTTTAGTTAGTGAGTTTTATGTATAATTTAAGAGGAATTAAGCGAGTTGGTAAGTGAGTATGTTTCTAGTTCAAATCTTATTCTATTTGCTTATTGGTCGATGGTGTAACTATTAAATCTCAAATTTATTATATGAAATGCGTTTAGATGAGTTCTTGATTTTAAAAAAGAAAAGAAAACTTAGGACTCTTTAAGTGTGTTACGTAAGGAATTTGTTTGGGTAGTAATTCGATGAACGTATCTTTGTATACATGTGTGTTACGTAGTGACAACAATCTTAACTTTTTATGTAATGAAAGTAATGATTGTGTAATCACATCAAATTGAGATCATTTAAAGAAATATCCAAATCATTATAAAGTAAACTGTATATATCATTAGTTCAGGATTTTATTTTGGATTTGTTAATTCTATGTGTATTTGGTTTTATAACTTTAAAATATCTGGCCACACATTGAAGATTTTCATTTTGGATTTATTGATTCTATATATATGTTATATCTATATGGTAATCCAAACATTTTATACTAGTAACAATCAAAGTGGTTATTCTTTTTCTATTGATACAGGAGATGAAGAGTTAGTGTAATGAGAAAAGATCCGAGTTTATCTCTTGTAAGACTAGAACAGTCTCTACAAATAGTAAGTTTATTTATATGCTTCTAGCGGTTTTTGAATTAATTTGTGTTTTCATTTTTCAGGTCAGAAATTTGTTGAGAGATGCAAAATATGGTTAAAGAATTCAAGAACTTAGTTTTTCAAGTTTTTTTCATTTTTTAATATATGTAAGCACAATTTAAAACTTTTTATTTAATTCTTTTGTATATACTTTTGAACATTTAACTTTCATTTATGAAATATATGACATTATTCCATTTAATACGTGGTTGTGATTCAAAGTATAGTATATACTGTGAATTACATTCTTGAAATGCGCATACAAAAATAATATTGATTATTCTTCAAATATGTTGAACATTTTCTTTTATCACACGCATTAACTGTGATGAGAAATACATATAACGTGTGATGTTATCTCATTATTAATCATAGGTTTTATTAGTTATTAATTAAACTTAAAATCTGTGATCTAAATGTTTATTATCACAGGTTTTATTTAAACACATATGTTTCTGATTTTGATTCGCCTTCTATCTTTTAGAATAAAAAATCAACATTAGGAATAAACTAATGGAAGTATGGTCTTTATTGTCTGTAATTTCTTTTAGGGAAAATAACTAATAAGTCCTATTTTGCTCTTAAGATTACTATCTAGTTTTAATATGGACGAAGTCCTATTTGTGATAAAGCGTTCCCAAAACATTCATTGCTCTATAATAGTGTGTCTTATCCCATTATGGAATAATGAACTTTTTGAAATAACATCCACCATTATGGAATAATGAACTTTTTGAAAATATGTTATGAAAAATAGGACTTTGTTCTCTATATTGAAGCTTGATAGGACTTCACAGTAATCTTAAGAGCAAAATAGGACTTATTGGTTATTTTTCCTTTCTTTTATTAATATAGTAAAATAAAAAAATCATTTTAGTTTATATCCCATTTTTTCTTCTTTCATTTTTCTTTATCTTGCTGCTTTTTAATGGTATATTATTACCGCTCCTTTAAGGTCGAGGATGCTGTTATGCTTGCATTTGCTCAACGTCAACGTCAACGTCCAAATTTGGTTCGACAATTCTTCTCAGGTATGTTCCATTGTCATGCTCCTAGCCTTTTTTGGATACAATGATTGCTCCCATTGGATAGATTTCCT